CGTTCGATGCTGACGCGACCAACAGCAGTTGGAGGATTTGTGATACAATGTAAGTAAATTATGAAGTCGCTCACGTGACCCGCACAGGCTTGGCCATTGCTGGCCATTGTTTGACCATTTCCGCCGTCCTATCAGGCTCTCATCTGGTGACGCAATTTCCCAGTTCTGATTCTTATACTTTTTCGAAGTCATTACTTGCTCACCATGACCATGACGAAACCATGCTCTTTTTGGCCATATGTACCTAAATCAAGTTACCTTGCATATATGCTCCTCCTTCTCTCCTTGTAGAGCTCATCGAACGAAGACGAAGGAAGTTAGAAACTGACTTTCAGGAGATAGCTGCGGCACGTCGACGCCGACTGGGCCTGTCGGATTCGGAACGTCCGATTTCCACAGCCGAAAATCACAAGGTTGGACCAACTGATGACCACTTGGATGACGACTTTGCCATCGTCGGCGAGGATGATGATGAGGAGGAGGAGGACGCCGAAGGAGGCGATGGGACTTGGGCGCCCACTCTGCAAAGTCATGTAGTCGCTGCAGGCGCCAGCGGAAGCGACACCCAACTCCCTCCTTCAAACTCTCATCGTAAGGTAAACCTTATAACCACCAGCACCACTTCGTCCGGCGGGCAGCGCTCCTCTTCGTCCATAGCGAAGGCCAAAGTTGACCCCACTGCTCCTCCCTCCGACGATGATGATGAGGAAGAACACTTTGAGGTAGACGAACCAGTGCTGATGGAGGACGATACGGCCCAGCAGCAGCAACAACAACAGGAGCCTGCACAGCCTCTCCCTGACGAAGAGCTGGAGGATCGAAGGCGGGTTCTGTTGCCCCCTATGGAGAAGGAAATACAGTAGCCACTGAAAGAAAGGATGCGGACCGGCCACCGAATCTCGCATTCCCTGTATACACATCCCCTAGTCTCTCTTCTCTCCCCCTGAGGATGGGCAAACAGCGCGTCTTCAGCCCCTGTCAGTGGATTTATACCGACACTCGGCCTTTTGCCTCCCTCGCCCAGTCCAAGCTACTCGTCCTGCCGTTTGTTCCCTCTTCCTCCCAACTGTTCTTCTGCGGGTCTCGCTTGCTTTTATCGGGCGTCTACCATTCTCTCCCTCTCCCGCCCCTTTACAATCTCTACTGCGCTCTTCCCTGGCTCCCATCGTTGTTCCCCTTCGAAAAAAGATCTGTTTCATATGAATAAAGGTTTTTTTTATCTCTTGTCTGGTATTCTGTGGTTATTCCTGTTCGCGGTTTTGCGTGCGCACTGTGTTGGTCCTTTCTGTTGCCCTTTTTTTGCTTGTGTACGCCTTCAAAGGGAGGGGGGGGGAGATTGACATTTACGGCAGCTTCCTTAAGTGTTCTGACTTGGAAAGTTTTCAAGGGCTATTGTCCAGGTATCAGTGATAACACGGTGTGATCTCCGAGCAGACAAAGCTTATCTGCTATCGTACTTGAGGTGCCGGAATGTGTACTCCCAAGTATTTTGGCAGTGTGGATGCATGATGTCTGTTTTTCTGACGCAGCAATCTCACACTGTCACTTGACTTTGATTCAATCCTCAGCTGTAAACTGATTACTTTCAGTGCGTGACCGATCTCATGAAATGTTGGCCAAAATTCTGGAATGCGTTTCCGATTAGAAAGGATTACTTAAGTGGGGTTCTTATACTGATTATTATGCAGCATAACCCCATAACATTTCGGACTCGCTAGGGTGTCGGCTTTTGAATGCACTTCTTTTTGACCTCCTGTAGAAACCACACTCGGTAAAAAAATGACTACTTAAGTAGCATTTAGGTAGTTTTATAAATTCAAAGTTATTTTACAGAAAACATGCACAAAAATGTGCTTTCTTTTGCTTATTTGGTAGGAAGTCACATTGTCTTCATATTTTATGCCCGAAGGTGTATATTTATGTTTTAAAAAAGTTTCTAATTATGAAATTTTTAAGACCGTGCGCTGTCCATGCATGCAAGACCTCACATATCCGTTTTCCAATGCTCCTCATGAAATGTGCAATACAGTCAGGATCCATTGCAAAATTTCATGAACTCCATGTGGTATCTTCTTAAAGCATAAAGGAATATGTGATCATCTTTACGCAGACAGCATGCACTTTGCAGACTGAAATTGCAAAACGCCGATGCAATGGCAAATCAGGCTGACAATTATTCGAGAAGTAGTAAACTTTATTAAAACCTTAATAGACACTTTCTTCGGGCATAAAATATGAAGACAATGTGAGCAAATGAGCAAAAGAAGGCATATTTTTGTGCATGTTTTCTGTTAAAATATATTTTAATTTATAAGACTACCGAAATGCGTGCTACTTAAGTAGTCATTTTTCACCGAGTGTGGTTTCTACAGGAGGTCAAAAAGAAGTGCATTCAAAAGCCGATACCCTAGCGAGTCCGAAATGTTGTAGGGTTATGCTGCATAATAATCAGTATGAGAACCTCACTTAAGTAGTCCTTCCTAATCGGAAACGCATTCCAGAATTTTGGTCGACATTTCATGAGATCGGTCACGCACTGTATATCGCAAACAGAATTTTAGTAAAAAGCACCTGTAGATAAGTGCTCTGCCGTCTAATAGCTAGGGGCCTGTCCCGTTTTACTCACACTTTTGACCCCGTACATTTCTAGTGCGTTTTATACATATCGTACGGACGATTTCACTTCTGTTAAATCAAGCTTGGACTGTATAGACAGAGTCATAGAGCTCTTGCGCTGGCTAACGCCGGTAGTCGAATTCAAAAATCACCTCAGCTGTCTCACAGGCCAAAGTCTTCAGTCCTGTATTCAGCCAACTGTCAGATGTGAACACCATTCTGTCGTGCCTTTCCCTGCAGGAGGTCTTGTGGACTGTCGGAAAACTGGCGAAAATCCGCAGGGAGGACCAAGACAGCGAAACCTACTCTGGGTTACTGGGAGTAGACGACTAACCGCAAAATTGTGCTCATCCGGCATAACTGGCAGTGATCAGTTCCGTGCAGTGTTCTGTTCCCTCTTCTGTCTGCTTCTGTTCATCTCAGCCCTGATATTTTGTTTTTCCACCCTGCCCTCGGTCCTGCTGATTTGCCGCGCGCTGTTGTCCATAGAATGGGGATCCTCATAAGTGATGCCGCCCAGATTTTAGTATGTGTGCGACTCTGCCGTCTGATTACGATGGGTGCGATGGGGGGAAACGAAGTTAATTCGCCCGCGATTACCACCGATTTACAGACCCAGCACTCGTTACAGTAAGAGACTAATCTAGCCGATGATCAGGACGTGCGGGACTTATAGAATGTCGTTGTCACATAACTAGGCTCCTTCTAAAATAAGTAGGCGCAGCCTTCATGACTGATGTTCGTACTTGGTAAGACGACGGCATCTGTGTTTGTGGTGATCCATGTAATATACAGTCCACCATTCTCCCCCCCCCCGCCCTTTACAATCTCTGCTGCGCTCTTTCTCGGCTCCCATCGCTGTTCCCCTTCGAAAAAGGGCAGTTTCATATGAATAAAGGTTTTTTTATCTCTTGTCTGGTATTCTGTAGTTATTGCTTTTCGCGGTTTTGCAGCAGAGGATTGAATCAAACTCAAGAGATAGTGTGAGACTTAGAAACTTTTTTAAAACAAAAATGTACACCTTCGGGCATAAAATATGAAGACAATGTGAGTTCCTACCAAATAAGCCCAAGAAAGCACATTTTTGTGCATGTTTTCTGTGAAATATCTTTGAATTTATAAAACTACCTAAATGCTACTTAAGTAGTCATTTTTTACCGCGTGTGGTTTCTACAGGTCAAAAAGAAGTGCATTTAAAAGCCGACACCCTAGCGAGTCCGAAATGTTGTAGGGTTATGCTGCATAATAATCAGTATAAGAACCTCGCTTAAGTAATCCTTCCTAATCGGAAACGCATTCCAGAATTTTGGCCAACATTTCATGAGATCGGTCACACACTGAAAGTAATCAGTTTGCAGCAGAGGATTGAATCAAACTCAACTGACAGTGTGAGATTGCTGCGTCAGAAAAACAGACATCATGCATCCACACTGCCAAAATACTTGGGAGTACACATTCCGGCACCTCAAGTACGATAGCAGATAAGCTTTGTCTGCTCGGAGATCACACCGTGTTGTCACTGATACCTGGACAATAGCCCTTGATTATCCCACCGGTTGAAAACCTTCCACGTCAGAGCACTTGAGGAAACTGCCGTAATTAAGTAGGGTTATGAAACTAATCATCATGCAGCATTATTCTATAATACTTCAGTTACTTCGGGATGCTGACTTTCGAACGAACATCTTCCCGGCCGCATACAAAAACTATACCCTGTAAAAATGCCCACTTAAGCAGCATGCATTTTTCATTGGTTTTTGTTTTTTTCATTGGTTTTGGCTTATAAAGTTAACAATAGGGCTCCAATCCACTGCCAACTTTTATGAACCCCACATTGTCTTCTCCTCATGATGTAGAAAAATTTATGATTTTCCGTACTCGGAAAGTATACAGTTTGTAGTTTGGAAAGCCTGAATGCAAGTGTAACGGCAGGTCGGGTTCCAAATTATTTGGGAATTGGAGAAGTCTTTGAAGACAGAATAACACCCTTCGAGTATAAAATTGGAAGAAGACGTAGTTTGCTGCCAAATGAGCACGAAGGAGAATATTTTTATGCATGTTTTCCATGAAAGATGATTGATTTTTTTAAGGGCATCGAAAATCAATGAGAAAAATGCATGTTACTTAGTTAGTCATTTTTTACAGCCTATAGTTTTTGTATGCGGCTGGTAAGATGTTCGTTCGAAAGCCAGCATCCTGATATAACTGAATTATTATAGAATTATGCTGCGTGATGATTAGTTCTACAACTCTGTGTAATTAGTCTTTTCGAAACTCAAACGCATTTCAGAATTTTGGTTGACATTTCATGAGTTAGCCCACCTACAGTACTTAGGCCAAATGGACTCCGCTCCTTTAAATTCTCATGCCTGTTTCTGCTTAGAATGGACTGTCAAACTGGAGCCCGGGCGGCCGAATCAGACGGCCGTGCTCAGCTGTTTGAGAGGCTGGCTGCCCGTGACGCAGCTCGAAAGGCCGAACTCCTCCAAAAGCGTCGGGAACGTCAACGGCAAATCGGTGAAACGTCTAATCGCGAGATCACCCTACCGCCTCTAAACTTTCCATCAACCGCCTCCACAACAGTCCTTGATGGCGCCGCCACCGGTGTACATTTCGTGGCGAACACACCTGCTAACTTCCTGGAGAATTTAAGTCGCGCCAAAAGTGATGTGCTTTATCGACTCAACGAACTGGGCGCAGCGGACAGCCGGGGCGATATCCAACTGCCCACCCCTGAGAAAACAAAAGTTGGTCCGATATGCGTCTCATATTTGTGGATATTATGGCTACTTTTTTCCTTTAAGTAGGTAGTGTAATGTTGCCTCAACTGGGTGCTCACTTCTGTTCGTTTGCAGGCCCTAGATGAAATCCTCTCGCAGATTGAAGAGTTGCAGCGCTGGTTCTCTGAATCGTCCGCCCATCTCAAGCCGTTCCACACTGAACAAGCAAGGTTAGAATTGGACGTAAGTTCTCTTTAGGGAGGTGCTTTCCTGTCTTCTCTCATTAAAGTGGACGGAACTCAGGGTGATTGCACTTAAACAAAACCTACGCATCACTAAGGAGTTGGTTTAATTAAACCTTAGTTATCTCACTTGAAAATCGATGGCAGTGAGAAAATCAATGCCGACAAGGGACAGGGGTTTCTAGTTGTAAGGGACATAGACTTGGTTGTGTCCGACTTGAAGTCGTTCGAATTAACCTTACCGTTGATTATTGTGTCTGAAGATGGTGGTCGCTTTTTAAATAACCCCATTTTTTACCTGCCTATAGATTATATTTTGTCTTGGGATCTGTCACAATTGGGTTATACCAAGCTACAAAAAATGTCTATGAGTACTATTTATCTTTTCACCACTTTGTCCTATCGCACGCCTCTCTGGTTTCGTTTTGCCCGCCAGTTCATCGCGTTCTACTTAATCTGTGTGATTCTACGGGTCATCGAACGGTTTCCATTCATAGGTCGATCCGTTTAGTGGAGGAAAACAAAGGCGAAACGTATTTTTCAGCGATCGAGTCTCGGTCTGTCGGTCTGCCGTGTTTATTTTCATAGGCGATCCCGTAAAGCCACCCAACCGATAATGCTAACTTAATATCAAGTGCCTTAGTGAACACGTTTTTGACCATACCAACAAAAAATAAAAGTCTGTCTCCCAATGGCTTATCGCCGCGAGACACTTGGGCGTGACCGTCTTCATCGCTCCTAATCTGCTTTTTCTGTTAAAAGGCATAGGGGGAGACTAAGGTCATAATAAGGACGATCTTTGTAGTACAATATCTCAGTGCGGAAAGCTTGATAGTCCTTTAAACGGGCCACACAGTAAGTGCACTGAATCAACATGGGATCTGAGCCGACCCCCTTTTTGTGTAAAAGTCTGGTCAGTTGTACGTTGTAGACCAGGGGGTGTAAATTTTCGGCGTGCCGGCTACATGTGCCCTCACTCGCCCCCGGTCTTCTTGATTCCGTCTTGACACCCGGACCTGGACGGGGTGCAGTAGATGCTGTGTAAGTCCACATCCACTGTAAGCTAGTTCACGCAAAAGTCACCGTTCCTACTCCGCCTTGGTATGGAGCACACAATGGACATCGTCGGAAACAACGGTTGGGCTGGATAAGAGAGATTTACGTGACCTTTTTATGTATCTTAATTGCAGGAGCTAAAGTCCAAGTTTCAGGAAGCTCGGGAAGCCCTCTTTCCAAAGAAAAAGTTCGCGTTTGGCGCAAAAGCTTCTAGAGCCAACCGGAAGGCTCCAACGGTGGGCAGTCCCCGCAATTCCACTCAAAAAACTACCTCGGAACAGCATCAGCAACGAACCCAGCTTTCTGAGCCTCCGCCGAAGTACAGTTTCTCCAATCTCTCTGACTGCCATAACTTGCGACTACCAGCACGTGGCGAGCCCGAGGATGCGCTGCTGGGCCAGTCCATCTACCTCTCCAACCTTGAGCACTGTGTGATTTACATTGAGGGTGTCGCCGGAAACCTGATGGTTCACAGTCTCCGTGGATGCACCGTCTACGCTCAGCCGGTGGCCAGCTCCATTCTGCTGCAGGATTGCGTAAACTGTCACTTCGTGCTCGCCTGTCGGCAGCTGAGGGTGCATCAGACGACTAACAGCCGTTTGGACATCTTTGTCGCCAGTCCGCCCATAATCGAAGATTCGACCAATCTGCGACTGGCGCCCTACCCGCTGGGGGCTGCTCACTCTGACCGCTTTACCGCCGCCCTGCTGGCCGCCAAACTGGCCGACACCTCAAACCACTGGTGTTACGTGCAGGACTTTAGCTGTCCCACATTAGTGCCTGCAGTAGGCACCTCGGACGCTGCGCCGGCTCCCAATTCTCCCAACTGGAGTCTCGTACCAGAGGCGGAGTTTATTCAGACGGACATTCCCAGATGCCCGGAAAGCTGACTTGCTTGAGAGCCAGTATCCTCTCCTCTGCAAGCACGTATGGGAAAGAAAGATGGGAAGAATAGTCTATTCCGACACTACCGCACTTCTCCGTATGTATGTATGTATGTTTGCCTACCTAGACTCCGGAAGGACGCCCCCCACCTCGACTACTAGCTCGCGGTCAGCGGGCATTTCTGCACGTACAGGGCGTTGTCAGCTTCTCTAAAGTGAATTATTTTCTAACTTATGGTTCACTCAAAAATAAAAATGCACCAGAATCCCCACTGGATGTCTTTTTGCTGCACAATTGCAGAAGACTTGAGGGGCTCGAATGGGATGTATGTATAATGTCACGCCTTACGAAGTAACCGTCGTCGCTTGAGGGCTTAGTTAGCCGGGCAGGCGCCTTCCTGTCTGAGCTGCAGGTTGTTTTCGGTTTACTTGAGACCGCTGGTACTATCTACGCCGCTTTCGGATTACTGGGATCTAATCTCTACGGGACAGCCCGCGATGGCACAGGGGTTCAGGAGCAAAACAGTACGTCCGTACTCCGTCGTGCAATCAGGACCGGCTGATGAGCGTAAATGACAGGTGTGAAACGTTAACCGCTGCGCTGCACTCGGTGTGGGTACTTTGTTGCGCTGGTTACTTTTGTCCATCCTGATGCGATGTGCCCCGTGAACGATAATTTTTTCTTCTTTGTAGAGACAAAGGTATGCTGTATGATGTTTGGTAGACTCATCTACAAATCTCGTGAAATAGGTGGTCCATAAGTAGCCACAAAGAAGAACATACTAGATCGGGAGGTTAGCTGGCCGATAGTCGACGCTGATCTGACCGTGTGCTTTCGAAGTCGTACCCCCCCCCTCCCCCAGTTTGTCCCAACCATACTAGTCAACCGTTCAAAGAAATTAGAAATTCAATGTATTTACAAGTGGAAGTACAGTTTGATAAACAATCGCAAAGACGTCGGGCCGCAATGTCAAGTATTGTTTACTAGGAGGCGGTGGTAATCGTAGAGAAGGGGCGTTGTGGTGATTTTTTCCCAAGTTTGTCGCGCATAATCCAACCACATATACTCCGTAAAGTTCGGCATCATGTGCTGTCGGTGAGTTGAGAAAACGGCCTCCTGGAGAAGCAGAGCGCATTGCGTGTACTCCGGGCAGCCAAACGGCACCTGACCTGTAATCGAATGAGAGGCGTTGTCAGTTTACGTAGTCAAATAAAGTCACGGAATTGAGGATGTGATTGTTTACCCTTCTCGTTAGTGGCAGGCAGTAGAAAGAGGCGCGGCCGTTTCAACTGGCGAACAACATCAAAGTGTTCTCTGCGAAGGTCTGCCACACGTTTCGTTAGAGCGGCAAGTTCGAGGGCTCTGATTTCACCATCGCCTGTCTCGCCCGCACTCTCGTCTTCGAAAAAACTTTCCACGGTGGAGGGACGTCCAGCATTCCAGTTCCCAAACGGCTGCCTTTCCACTTCTTCCCCTCTTTCTTCCAATTCGTCCGCACTGACCTCGTAGTCGTCGGTGGTGTCGCTATCTAGGATGTTCCGCGAAGTCCGCTGCTCTTCAGAAATCAGGTCACAGCACTCCTCAGTGACTTCCTCCTCCGTTAAGGGCATGCAAATCTGTGGGTTCAGTTTGGGACTCTGTCGTATGGAGGACTTGTCCGCTTCCATACTCGTCCTAGGAGGAAAATAGGCCATGGGCGAGAATTCTGAGCCGTAACAAAACTGAAGGCATATTCGGCAAAAGGATAAGCCGCTGGGCGACCGAAGGTTCGAGTTTTTATGACGAACTGCAGACTCTTGCTGCCGTTGGCGCTGGCTGCAATTTCGGTGTTGAGAATGTCAGGCGATTTGCGCCAAAGGCAGAGACACAAACAACCTTTTTGTCCTACTGCCTAAGCCTACTCCGGCGGACCCTAATCCACTAGATTGTCTTGTACTGTATCTACCGCACTCTCACTTCAGGGCTGACCAGAAGGCTCCAACGGTGGGCAGTCCCCGCAATTCCACCATGACCACTCAAAAGACTACCTAGGAACAGCATTAGCAACGGCCTCAGCTTCCTGAACCTCCGCCGAAGTACAGTTTCTCCAAGACTGTCATAACTTGTGACTGCCTGCACGTGGCGAGCCCAGTTGCTATATGAAGGAGATAAGTTTACTTGGGTGACCTTGCAGCAACGCTATTCGTGGAACATAAGTGACTTTCTGATTATAGTTTTTAAGCGCCCACAGTAATTTTGTTCTGTAAGAGCAGGACTAAATTAGATATCAAACTCCATCCGTCGTGTTTTTCTCAACGCACTTAGGTACTAATAACCCCATTTCGAAAAGTAGAAAAGCTATGTCTTCTTGAACTTCGGAATTTGAAAGCTTAGAAGCCGTGTAACTAAACATATGCGACCGTTCTCACACTCCTTGATCGTTCGTATAACCATGTTGAGATTTAGTACTTCTTATGGAACCTCGCAAGTCCTCTTTGGACAAGATGAAACTGATGGCAGATAGCTTGGGAACTCAGGTGGCACATTAATTTTTCAACAAACGTTGCCCGAAATATAATATGGGATTTAGTTGCGTTAGTAACTTCAAAGACATACTGTCACGCATATCATCTGACTTGGCAATTAAAAAGCAGAAATTGATGCCCAACTGATACGTCCTCCACATTCTCACTAATTCAAGAAAGTGTGATTCTTACGACCAAGCCGAGAAGGTATCCGCGGCCAGTTCTCGCGTCTGTCTTTTCCGCTTATTCAAACTATGTTTACAAGTGTGTAATGTTGTGTTTTCCCGTGGCTTTTAAATTGTGCAACTGACTGGTCGGGTACTTACTCCAGAGCTTTAGATGAGGAAGACTGAGTTGGAGCAGGTTTTGCCTCGTCTTTGGGATCACCTATAAAGTGAGAATATGGGTTTTCAGTTTAGCATTATTGTGTTGCAAGGGCTGTACTATTCACGCTTCAGCAAGAAAAGAGTTAACCAGTCTTACCGGCTGTGGTCGCTTGACTGTGTCCGAGTTGGGCGTCATCAGTGGCTGCTGGGTCAGTGATTTTTAGCTTGGACAAGTTGTCCGCGATCATCTGCCCTTCCGCCTGACTGCCTTCTCGCTCGCTCTGCCCGTCTGTGCGTTTGTCGCCTTCGACATCCTCGCGCGGTGCGTTTGCAACGCTCCGTGTCTCCAAGGGCTGACGAAATCCACTGGCCCCCGCCTGGTGGCGTTTCAAGGCCATATGACGGCGAAGAATCCGCGGGCCGAGTCGCGCAAGGCAGGCGAATCGTGCTCTGGCAGGATAAGAGTACTTGAGCAGGGTCCTGTACTTTTCAACGCAGTCTCGCATGTCAGAGTTCAGAAATGCAGAGACAGGCGCTGCATTATAGATATGTATTAAACTGGCGCAGTAGTCGGTAACCCCTGAAGGCGGGAAGTAACAAGAAAAACTCCATTTAAACGGTGCAGGTATACATGAAAAGTAGTTAAATTGCAAAATTTTTACATGTATTTTTAGTGTGATTAAGCACAAAATGTTAAAAATGTGCAGCATTTGCAAAATAACGTCCACTGAATTCGAACTGTGAAATTTCCATCTGGGACAAGGGTAGTTTGCACAAAATGGTCTGTTGAAATCATTTTAGTAGTATGTTTATAGCCATTTCAGTGATCCATTGGATGGGAGTTTGGGGAGTTCGGGTTGCCTTTTAAAAAGTGTCTCTTGAACACGCTCACGGTAGGGAAATTTACAAAATACGTCGGCAAAGAATTCCATTGGCGAAAGACTCTCTGCGAGAAAAAGGAGGAGCGTTGACTGGTGCAGCACAGTTTCTTTTTAAGCTGGCAATCGTGTCGTCTAAAATAGTCTTTGGTGCCATTTCCAATAGAGTTTCCCGGTTGACATCCAGATCAAGTCCTCTTAGCAATTGGGACGTTGCTACAAGGTCACCTCTGTCCTGCTCGCAGTGAGGAGGAGGGAGACTACAGACGGTTAGGTGCTGCGCATACGAAAGTTGTAGCACGTCGCGCTACATCTCTATATCCACATCTTTCCGAAGCCACGGTCGCCAAGCGTGTACCATATTCAAGTCTTTGAGAAGTCCCAGTAAGTCAATAAACAGGCACTCCCTCCTCATAATTAATTGAGCCTGACATAGTTACGGCAGCAAATTAGGAGGCCGGTGCGTGGACTTCCTCCCAGCATATCCACGCGCTACGCGCCCTAGTCTAGGTAACGCAGCCCTGTTCCCAGACTCGAAGGGAGTCGGTTGACGTGCACCAAGAAACGACAAAACTGCTGTCTCTAATGATGGACTACCGAAAGCTCGAACATTGGTACGTCCAGCTACCTCCCGCAACGGATAACGATGCCTGTCTTAAAGTGGACTGAGTCCTACCACCTCTTCGTATGGGATCTTGTGGTCCTTTAATGACTGAGTATGATATGGCTGTTATGAAACTTCATTAAACAGAACGTCTTTGATACCACTGCCTTGAGAGCTGCACATCCGTGGCTAGGACACCCAACGTACACGAAGTCCTTAGACCTCCATTACAATGGCATGTTTTCCAGCCGCTCCAACACTCCAGCGCCGTCTTCAATCGACATCCACGCAGACTGTCCGACATACTGGCTTGTTTGAAAAAACGCTAAATCCCTTTTTTGACTGGGTGTGGGGGCGCTTTTAGCGGTAGCAAAGCAGACCCCGACCATGCAAAGATTAATGCAGCGCAGTGCAGTTACTCGTCCATGGCCAGCACAATGCCAAGATGCGAGACTCAGACAAACGATGACGGCTATAATAATTAGAAATTGTGCGGCAAAGAGACAAGGAAAGACATGAATGCGCACGTTCTTTACGGCGTGCTAACCCATGAAATGTTAACCAAAATTCTGGAATGCGTCATCGAGTCGAAAAGATTACTGAAGTAGTGACGCAATATCAGTTACCGTGCAGCATTATCCCAAAATAAAGCAGTTACTTCGGGATGCCGGCTCTTAAACGAACCTCTTTGCA